TATATATATATTTTTTATTCTTTATATATTAAGAAAATAAAATAAGTAACAAAATATTTTGTATTCTATTAACGCATTCAAATTGTATCGCTATTTTTATAAAAATATAATAAATCTTAAAAAATATTAATTTGGCTATAAATTTTCAACTATAAAGCTTAAAAAGATTTTATTACAAATATTTTATTTTATTCTGTTTATAATTGACTAAGGTATATTACTTATTTATCAAAACATAAATGGAGCAAATTTATTTTAAATAAATAATCTTATATTTATTTATATCTTATATAACAAAAGTATTAATTTTGTTAATATGAGATTTAAGCAATTATATTTCTTGTTATTATTTACTAAAATATTCTATGCCAAAAATATACTTAGCTGCCTTTCAAACATTCCTAACATATTGTGTATATATTTCAGTTAGTAATATTTATAATAGAATTCATTTTATATTAAATAACAATAAGAGAGCATAACTTTCATTATATGTGAATTTTTATTTGAACTTACTTTAGTCATCCAAACCTAGGCCTTTTGAAATTTCTTCTGCTGTTAGATTATGTCCTGAAGAAGAATTATTTGCAGAACTATCAGAAGATCTCATAGAATTTGATGTATAAGTTGATGGGGGAGTTGAATGATTATCTTCGTGAGATTTCTGTATAAAAATAATTATATAAATAGATTAAAAAATTTTTATATTTATAATTCTTAAAGCATTTTATACTTACATCTTTACCATGTTTTGTAAGACCTCCTAAAGCTGAACTAAACAAAGAAGAGCCAATTGCTGATCCTATTCCAGATAAAAGATCTGAACTTGAATTTGATTGTTGGTTAGAATATCCACCAGAAGGTTGATAATTTCCATAACCTCCTGAAGGCTGATAATTTGATTTTTGATTTCCATCATTACCAAAAACACCACCAATAATAGATCCTAAGGCTCCTGTCAATGGATCACTTGGCTGATTTGTAGGAGGTGGTGCTATATTATTTCCACTACTTCCACCTTATATGTATATATATATATATAAAGTTAGTATATTAAAATTTAATTGTGAAATTTTTATGATTTTTAATATAAATATGATTTGTAATGAATAATAAATATTATTATTATCAAATATTTTTATATTTTTTAATTTCTATATTTAATTATTATTGAATTATATAATTATCATTATTTATAAACAAATTAAAATATCTTTATTATAATTTGAAAAGAGTTATTTATTTTTAAAATATAAGATGTATCTATTATATCATACCTAATGCTCCAAGAATAGAATCTAATACACCACCACTATTACTTGATTGCTGGGAGGGATAGCCTTGTTGTGCATGCGAATTACTTAAAGCATTGGTCACTAAACTGCTTGCTAAAGCTGCACCCAAAGAGCCAAGGTTTCCTAAGCCACTTTCACTTTCTGTTTTTGATTTAGAAGCATCAGACTTTTCTTGATCTTTTTCAACTTCTTCTTTTTTTTTCTAAATTATTATACATAATATTATATATTATTACATATTTAATATATATATATTACTACTTTGAAATATTCAGATTATGTACATTTATAGCATGTGCAGCAGCTGCTATACCTCCTGCAGCAACTAATCCTCCTAATGCAAGGCCTACTTTATCCAAACAACCACTAAATGCATCTTCTTCTTCAGGCTTTTCATATCCAGGTTGATATCCATATGATTTTGGAGGAAAACCTCCATATGCATTAGGTGGAGGACCATAACCAGGACCTGAAGGTGGTGGACCATAACCAGGATCTGAAGGTGGTGGGCCATAACCAGGACCTGGAGGTGGACCATATCCACCTTGTATTGTAGGATATAATCCTCCAGGAGCTAAAAATTAATAGCAATTTATTTAAAAAATAAATTATTATAATATAATATTATTAATTTATATTATTATAATATAATATAAATCTAATTACACAATTTTTAAAATTGTTCACCTATCTAATTGATAAAAATATATATATATTATATATATAAAATGTTTAATTACGTGGTGGGCCAAAGTTAGCAATAGGTACATCTGGTGTAGATAATACTCTAGGAGAACTAGGCGGATCTATAGGTACAATTTCATATGAGATGGATTGTATTTCTACATCACCATCAATAACCAAATGTGTCACTTTATCATATGATAATCGATGATTAAATTCTGTAAAATGTCTGCCATTTATGGCAATTTTATAACATTTATGATCACATAAAAGAAGAATTTCAAATTCTTGACCAGGTTGAATCAACATAGGACCTTCATTTTCTTCTATACCCCAAGTCATTGATTCTATATGATTTCTAGTAATAAATCCTTCTGGAAAGCGTGGTGAAACATGAATAGCTATATCATCTCTTGGATTTAAATTAGGTCCTAGTTGATAATTTATAGCAAAACGTACAGCATCAGGAGAAACTTTGCCTTGAATTTTTACCATTTTTCCAGGTTTTAAACCTCCTTCAATGGATCCCACATAAGGAATAGGCTATTTAAATAAAAAAATTATTTTTAAAAATAAATTAATTTAAACAAAAAAAATATGAAAATGTATTATTATTTTGAAATATAAACATAAAATAGAAATATAAAATATGAACTTATTAAACTATATAAATTAATTACTAGATAAATTCAATTATTTTATATTTTTATTTAAATTGCATTAAATTGCATTAAAAAATTATATTATTGTGTTGTCATTTATTATATTTTGTTCTATTTTTTCAATTCAATTTTGTTATATATTTAAAAAAATTTTTTATGTTATATAATATGATTTTTACATAGAAAATTGAAAGTAATTTGAAAAATTTAATGAAATAATTCATTTAATATATGGACAAACTATATTTCATTGTAATTATATCAGCATTGCAGATGTATGCATTCTTTCTTAATCAATCAAAAATGACAGTCATTTTGTTACTTTTATTAGGTCAAATAATTCTTTAATCTATAAAAATAATACTTACGGGATTTAATATTGGCTCAGATGACATTATTATAATTTGATTCTACGTTGCAAATATAAATAGAAGTTTATATCTTAATATGCAATTACAAAGTAACAAATACTGTATAGATGGAGAATTCCGCACTTCTCTTGCGCTTCTCTCAAGACATTTCTATTTAGAGTGCTGACGTTTCCAGCTTGAACTATGCAATGCGGCACAAATTGTATATAATGTAGTTTAAGGCGCGCAATAGTTTCTTTCGCGCATGTATTTTCAAATTCTTTTTATTTACTGCAATGCATATAGAAATAATATAAAAAAAGCGCGAATTCAAATTTGTTTCATATTTAAATACATATTTAAATACAATAAACCAATCAAATTGTTCTATTTTAAAAATAAATCAAAAGTATGTATATGATAAACCAATTATAAGAAAGGGATGACATAATGTATTATATTTATAAAACTAGTTATTATATATACATGTTGAAATATTATAGATTATAAATATTATATAAAATATTTCCAATTTTATGGATTAAATGCTCCAATTATCATTTAAAGATTGTATAATTAATTAGTGGAATAGTTACAAGCGAATACGCGTGTATTATCGCCTACGTTCATTTTCGTTCGCATTGTTTAACACTACAGGAAACTAAATAAACCGTTCATTGAGATGTAACAGTCTCACTGCTAGAGAGAATTTCTTTCACCTAGAAAAATTAAACAGTTAAATGGAAACAAGTTAATAGTGAGCAGAACCGGATCAATGTAAATCAATAAAATCGATGAGGAAACATAAAAACAATCTACATAGCTTATTTCCTAACCTAAATTTTTATGTTTCTGTTTCTTTCCAAGTATGTTTCTTTTTAAGGAAATTTAAATTTGTTTTAATTTTTAATTATTATAATTATTATATTAATATTATAGTAATATATTATATTAATTTTGTATAAATTTGTGATCATAGAAATTATAATTCAATACAATTCAACATTATCACAATTAAGATATTCAAATATTTGTTAAAACAAATTTTTACATTTGTAAATCATGTATATATGAATTATAAGGTATATATGTTTATAAGGTATATATATTTTTAAATAAAAAATTTTTTAATTTCGTAACTTTTAAATATTGAAATATTGAATATCAAAAATAAGCAATTAATTAAAATATTATTTCTAATTATTATTCATTTTTAAATAGAATTCATTTATGTGTATTATTGACGTATAGGTAACGAATGTCAATCAGATATGTAAGCAGACGTATTGTGGCTATAAATTGATCATTTTACCTGTACATTTCCAGGGGCCACATATAAGGTGTGTCGCTATAAAACGTATGTGGAGCGTGCGAGGGCTAGGCATGGCGCACCCATAATAAATAGAATATAATAAATTAATCGAATTATACAATTTTAATTCTTATGAATTACTTTGACTTTAAAAGGTCAATGTTTAAATAATTTTTTAAACTCTTATTGGTAAGCATTTATTT